CATTAGAGACGATTGAACCGCTGCAAAACATCATTCCTCGTCAGGTCGTTGTTTGTGTTCGCAAGATGCTTGAACAGGAGTGTTCAGCATGAACGCTAACCACCGAGCTGGGAAAGGAAAGGGGAGAAGAACATAGCATTTTTGTATCTCTACCTATTTTAAACTGAAGGAGCAAGTTTCACTGACTTCACATTCTTGGGAGACTGGAATAAAAACGAAAAAAAAGAGAGGCCTATTTAGCAACGCTGATGATTCCTTCTTGCGGGACCGATCCATTTTCTTCTGTTGCTTGTTAATATTTTCATGTCAAAACACTAAGGAAGAAAATGTCGAGAAGCAACTGCAAGTCTTCACGACTTATTGATAAAAGTGTCGATGGGAGAAGGTTTGTTGAATAGAGGCCAGTTTTGGCAATGTTGGTGGTAGAGCTATCAACCATAGAGACCTTTGTTCCTACCTCCTCATATTTTCCGTGTGCTTACCAAACCGACATTGTGGGCCCATTAGGAAATGGGTGAAGATGATCATTTTAAAAGGAAGAGAACTGGGGAGTTGAACCATGGGTTATTCGGATAAACCGGACATAAAGTGTTTGTTCACTTTGAGATGCTTTATTTGGCGTGGGGAATGGAATAGGATCGGTCGGAGAGTGTGAAGGGAGGCGATGTTATTTATACCTTTAACCTCGTTCGAGGGATGCGTTCATTCTCCAAGGTACATACAAGGGACTGTCAGCTTAGTCGTCTTGAGCCACATCAGTGCTTGGTTTGGAAATGCTTGCGAGGTGAGCAAGGCGTAGCTTGTCCAAGGGGAAAAATGGGGTGCTACATTTCATCGAATCACTTTGAGCGCAACTGTCCTCTCAACTAGTAAGGCTCTTTCTTCACCACTACCCAAAATTTCTAACAAGGCCAAATAGGGCAAAGTGCACTTGCGCTGCAATGTCGAAGTTGCCCTAAGTTCGCCCTGAGCCAAAGGATCGTGGAAGAATTTGCTATGCACATACGAGTTGCATAACCAATGATATGGCTCCACTCTCCTTGTTTTTCGTTGCATCCTCCTTAAAAGGAGAATTGCTTTACAAAGATTTGTTGGGCATTCCCGTACAAGTACAATCAAGAGAGGTAAGCGTAAACCGGAGGTGTCCAAACCAGTGCTGGAAAGGACCATCACATCCCATTTGAACAACATTCTAGCCTACCAAGCTCAATTCAAACAAGCGGTATGTGTACAGATGGGTGATCACAAGACTAGAAGTCTGGCAAAAATGCGAATTTGTAACCAAAACTTTTACTAAGGCCCTTCAAAATATTTTCATTCGATCCTTTGTTTTTGACGTAGTATAACACATTCGATGGAGCTGAGTGACAGGTTTATATTTTGTTGGGTGAAGGCAGTCTCAAGGTTGTCGCTCGTTTCAAATGCAAAGGCACCCTCGTAGGTTTGACGGGCTGCTGTTAAGACCAACATTGCTTTTCCACTTTAGGTAGGTAGGTAGGTGCTATTAACCAATGTATTTACGGCGTCGAGATGCTGTTGTGTGTGATAGTAGCATCACCTTCCAGAATGGGAAGGTTCTAGAAATCTCTTTTCGTTTTCTCGCTCATCCCCAATACGACGTCCTTGTTCAACTGCTCTACAACTTTGATGGATGCGTTGGAGTGGAGAACACCGACATCCTAGTTGACAATTTGTCAGAGAACAATTTTTATGCCCTATCAGACAGAATTCATCATTCCGAATATTTTATTCAACACGTTGAAATGAATGCCGACGACACCTACTTTGTGGTGTTTCGTCCTCGAATCAACTGATTATTTGTGCGTTATATCCCCGCAAAACGGTTAAAATTGACTTTCTTTTCGAACGATTTTGCATTTTAATAAAGTTGAAGTGATTGACTGAATTATTTGACGCCAATAGATGCTGACATCTTGAATAGTACTTCGAAACTGTGGACCTAATGCTACTAATCCTACGCCTTTAGCCCGATCTGAATCACATTTTGACTTCACACTTTGCGGCTAAGTTAATTTTTGCACCTTCCCATCGGTGTAGATTGGAAAGCAAATGCTCTCTGGTTTGCAAGAGATGTGCGATCATTCGATTTACGCTAATTTCCTTCCTTCCTTAAGTCCTGCTCATGTCTTAAGTACAGGTCCGACTGGGCTGGTAGATGTGCCATCATGCGACTACATAGGTCGAAAATGATCAGAACGTCTTT